CACTCAGGGGACCTTTAAGCAGTTCCCCGAAGCTGCTGAGAATGGATTTGGGGCTGAGGGTATCCAGAGCACAGAGGCCAGAGATGGGCTTTGGTGGAAAGGGCAGTGGTCTTTCCAGCGGCGAAGTAAGAACATGTGTCTTGCTTGGCCTGGCACGTAGTAGATAGATGGCCACTGATTAGGCCTCTCCTTGGGGGCTGGTCATCGAAAGGTGCTCTGCTCACTCCTCCCTGAGTCCAGGGAGCTGTCCTGCGAGGCACCCACTAGCTCCAAACAGATTTTGGTCTCAGGCTGGGGTGCCTCAGAGTGCCCCAAAGGCTGACTTCAGGAGCGTCCTTGCAGTTACTCCCTCTACCAGAGAGCATGAAGGATGGTCAAGAGATGGAATTAGGGACAGAAAAGATGCGTGGAGGATAGTGGAGAGGACCCAGATGAGGGAGCCATGGAGCCAGGGCTCTAGTCCTGAAGGAGAGTTCCTGTTGCCTCCAATCCTCCCAAGGGCTTGTATCCAGCAGATGGGAACTGAGTTCCACAGCTATGGGCCCTGGACCATAACTGTGTTACTTCCAATTCTCAGGGTCAGGCTGACTCCTTCGAGAAACAGAGAAAAGGAGAAAGTCGAGAGCAGGGCCCATGAGAGGTGTGGACACGGGGTGACCAGAAGATGTCGGAGGTCAAGTGTGATGCAGGAAGGAAGAGCAGATGCTAGGCAGGGCCGGAGCCTAGGCTGGGGTATTCCTCCTTTCCCAGCTAAGGGCCTAGCTGGTCCCTACCCTCCAGGGTTCTCATAGCCAGCCCTGGCTTTGCAGGTGTGGAATTGGGTTCTGGACCCTGACTGGGCCAACCTGAAATCTTGGGTTTTTCCAGAGGCGGAGGGTAAGGGACTGTTCCCAATTCCCGCACCGTGGAGTGTAGTTGGCCAGGACACTGCTTCTAAGATGCCCTAAGGCAGGTTCTCACATCTAGTCCCAGCTGCCCTAAATCCTTCTGAGTGTCCTGGGGCTCTGCAGAACTTGGAGTTCCTCATCCTGCTCAGACCCCTGCCCCGGGAAAGCATGTGCTTGGACGCAGGCGGTAGGGTTCCTATACCTCTCTGGCTTTGCAGTAGCCCTCCATGGCCTTGGATTCTTCCTCTGGCCCCTCTCCATTGATCCCCTAACCTCTCTGTTGTGGAGCCAGAAGAAGAGCTTCTGAGTGATTCGGGCTAACTCAAAGGGAAGGGGCCTTACTGTCCTCTCCTCCCTCTCTGACTGGCGCTTGCAACACAGCTTCTAAGGCCATAACTCAAAGCTGTCTTTGATTCTGAGATAAAGACCTGGGGTTGGTTTCTGAGGGTCTTGGAAGCTACCAGGTCAGCACTGGGGAGAAAACCCCTGTGGGTTAGGTGCAGCTGCCAGAGTTTTCAGGGATAGCGCAGCCTGGGCCCAGCTGGGACCCGGCCAATGTTGTCGAAAGCACAGTAGCTTGTGATTCAGAATTAGAGTGCTCCCCTCTCAAAGGAAACAGGGCGTTGAGAATTGGAGTGCTCCCCTCTCAAAGGAAACAGGGCGTTGAGAATTGGCAAGCCCTTGGGGTTGACATGTCTCTGAAGCGCCTTTCCTTCCCCTTCCTCTTCTGTTTTGGGCGGGTCCCTTCAACACTTCCCTTGCTGAGAAAGGAGGCCTCTCGTCCCTCTCTTGTGTATGAGAGGGCCAACTTCACAGAAAACTTCGTTTCCCTTCGCCCCTCGGCATCCGTAAGGCCCCAAAGGTGAAAAAGGCAAGGGCAGAACCGTTCTCGGAGGGACAGATGGTGCCAAGAGCAAGGCAGAGGTGCTGAGGCCCGACCTTGGGGACTCCTATCTCTACTGCGGGATCAGATGCCCTGGTAGCTCACAACAAACCCAACGGACAGCCAGGTGTCTGGAGGATGAATATGAGGACAAACCTAAGAGACCGACCGTGTGATCATCAGCACAGATGCAGCTTGTCAAGTGTGGGGCAACTCTAGTGGCGTCAAGAATAACGACTGCCGGAACTGGAGCCATGGATCAGCGGCTCCCAGCACTGACTGCTCTTGCAGAGGACCTGGGTTCGATTCCCAGCATCCACACTGTGGCCCGCGGCCTCCCGAACTCCAGTTCCGGAAGATCCATCTGTCACTTCAGTTCCAGCAGATCCAGTGCCCTCTTCTGACCTCTATGGGTACCAGGAATGCACACGGTACACAGACATACATGAAAGCAAAACACTCACATTAACAAAGAAGGAGGAGGAGGAGGGGGACTGAGAAGGACTGTTTGACAAGAATATACTAAGGGCGTAAAAATCCATAAATCCCGCACTCCTGTTAAGAGGCTGTCCTGCCTGGTTTTAAGTCAGCTCGACACAGACTTGAGTCATCTGGAAGGAGGGAACCTCCACTGAGAAAACGCCTCCATAAGATCCCGCTGAAAAGCATTTTCTTAATTAGCGATTGATGGGGGAGGGCCCAGTCCATTACGGGTGGTGCCATTCCTGGGCCGGTGGTCCTGGATTCTAAAAGGAAGCAGGCTGAGCAAGCCACGAGGAACACGCCAGCAAAGAACCCTCCTCCTTTGGCCTCTGCATCAGCGCCTGCCTCCAGGATCCTGCCCTGCTTGAATTCCTGTCCTGACTTCCTTCGATGACGCACTACGATGTGGAAGAGTAAGCCAAATGCACCAACTTGCTTGTGGGTCACGGTGTTTTATCCCAGCAATAGAAACCCTAACGAAGACAGAGGCCTCCGGGGAGAAGTGGCCCATGTGTCCATTCATGGATGACTCGTGTTCATCTATAGAGAGCAGATACGCAGCGTGTGTTCATCTTATCGTGGAGTGACACCCAGCCATAAGGAAGAAGTATTCCCACACCTGCTCTAGCTGGGTGAATCCCGAAGACAGCGTAATGAACAACACGAGCTTGGCACACAGGGCAAATAGTGTCTGGTGCTATTGACACGGAGGTCCCTAGGTCGGTGACCTTGTAGACTCAGAAGGTTGAAGAGTGGTGGCCACCACTGGGTAGGGTGATGTCTTAGTTAGGGGTTATATTGCTGCGGAGAGACACCACGAGTACAGCAACTCTTACAAAGAAAACATTTAATTAGGGTGGCCCCCCTACAGTTTCAGAGGTTCGGTCCATTCTCAGCATGGCGGGGAACATGGCAGCTGGGAGTGTGAGAGCACCCAGGCAGACGTGGTGCTGGAGTAGTAGCTGAGAGTGCTACATCTTGCAGGCTCTAGGTGGTGTCCTGAGCATAGGAAACTTCAAAGCCCGCCCCCACAGTGATTTACTGCCCCCTAAAACACTATACCCACTCCAACAAAGCCACACCTCCTAATAGTGCCACTCCCTATGAGATTATGGGGGCCAATTACATCTACACTATCACAGGTGGTGTTACTGAATGCAGACTTTCAGCTCTACCAGGTGAAAAAGTTCTGGAGATGATGGTGGACACTGGGAAGTGCTCATTAAAGAGTGGTCAAGTGGACTGGGCAGTGGTGGCACACACCTTAAATCCCAGGACTCACAGAAGCAGGTGGATCTCTGAGTTCAAGGCCTCCTTGGACTACACAAGATTGAATCTGTCTTAAGAGAAACAGAGCTCACACAAAGGTGATTCCAGCACTTGGGATCACACGCCTTTAATTCCAACACGAGTGAGGTAGAGATGGAAGTAATGTGGCAGGCAGAGAAAGGGATATAAGGGTAAGAGGCAAGCGTTCAGTGGAGTGTGTGGAGCCTGAGGTTGGTGGAGGGCATTGCAGGATCACCATTTCCGTCTGAAGATTGGGTAGAGGTGAAAGGTCTCTCTAGTGGTTGGCTGCTTTGTTTTTCTAATCTTTAGGTTGAACCTCGAACCCCAGTGTCTGTCTCTGGGTTCTCATTATTTGTGCTTCAATATAAGACAAACAAACAACAACAGAGGTCAGATGGCCATTTTGTAATGAGCTTCAACCGTGTTAAAGTTAAATGCTGTGAAATCTGTGTGCTTTGCCATGCTGAGAACTCTGGGGCAGGCAGGCAAGAGCACAGTTTACCCCAATTCACAAGAATGCATAATATGAGAAGGATGCGGACAGCTACCTAAGAATCAGAGAAGACAGCTGTCCCTCCTTGCGGGGAGTGGAAGGTGGAGCTTCCAGGAAAGACGATCAGGTCGCAGGAGGCCACACCCACTTGTGGCTCAGCCCCCAAACCCTTTTGCCCTCCAAGGAGGGGTCTGGTGTGGGTGGGGCGCAGTGGTGTCGTGGTCAGGGGATCAGGGATGACCTTGCTTGTGTCCTAGATTCCTGGGGAGGGGGTCACAGCCATGAACAGCTGCTTTCAGGAAGTTAAGATGGACTCTGTCTTCGCACACCTGCGTGTCAGCTGCCTGCCCCACAACCCCGAGGGCCAGCTTTCTAGGGACTGTGTTTCCACCCACACAGATATGCAAATGTCTGTTAGAGATGGGGTAAAAGAGAAAGAGGCCTTTAGTCGCACAGCCTCGAAGCCTAGCATGGGTGGGTGGGCAGGGAGTAAGAAGGACTCCTATCCTTAGAGTCTCCCAGGGATGTGCTGTCTGGGCCATGACCTTTCTAACTGCTCCCTAGACCAGAGCCAGCTTTGCCTTTGCTATGGAAAGAAACAAGACTGGGGACACTGGGGACACTGGGGACTGACAAGGGGTGGGGTCGATACCCCCGAGCCCAGAGCCAGCCTTTCGGGTGGAGGTTGTTTAAGTTTGTGGTGGGTCACAACAGCTGCCATCTGACATTTTCCAGAGAAAACGGGCTGCATTTGGAAGTGAGAGGTATGAGCCCACCAGGCCAGGCAGCCCTCAGGGTAGGAGGTTGCCCCTGCAATGCCACTTGCTTATTCTCTGGTTTTCATGGGGTCCTCATGAGGAAAACCACTTGCAGAGCTACTGGGTGAGGGCTTTGTCCTGAAATAGAGGCTAGTTTCTCAAACAGAGCTAGGGTGGCGATTACCCCTGCAGGGCTCTGCCCCCAGATGGTAGGGTACTTGCAGGGCACCAGATGGGCGCTGCAATAAGGAGCAGTGTGTCTGATCAGTGCTCTCCTGGCATAGGAGCACCCAATGTCGGACCCAAGAAAGGAACTGGCTATGTGACCTGCCCTGTCTGACTGAGGAGCAGGTAGGAAACAGTCCCTGCGAAACTGCCTGGCGCAGCCATTTTAGCCTCCATCTCTGGGCAAACGTGAGGTCTAGCTGAGGATATCATGAGAGCAAGATCAAACCGGTCTGGAACTATTTCCTGTCATCCCAACTCATTGTCATCACAGTGATGAAACTCTTATGCTCAGCTTGTGTTGTGGTTAGGGGAGTTTCAGAGTGAGCATGCTCAGACCCCCACTACTTCCTGAAACCTCTCAACTGGGCCTGTAGAGGGGTGCTCAGTGCTGCCTCAGGACGGGCCTGCTCAGTGCTGCCTTGGGACGGGCTTGGGTAAGTCAGTGGGTTCTAGGTCTGGGGAGTGAGCTGGGGGGGGCAGCCCCTCCACCGTGGTGTCTGAGAAAGATGTGCTTTGATGTACAATAGTGGGGCTTGGCCCGGAGTCTTTAACCAAAGTCCGTCCCCAAGAGGGAACGCAGGGCACCATGCCCTCCCACGTTAGGGCACAGGGAAAATAGCATACGTCATACTGCCCATGCCCTGATCTACCTGGATCCTTCTGGAAGATCTGAACCCCGATTGTAGGTACAGACAAGAGTGGAGGGACAGGACTTCCTCTAACAGGGAACCGAGGGCCACAAGGACCTTGGGAACGTCCTGGGCAGTATGGTTGGTAGGGTGAGGGGTCCTCTTTCTAGGAGCTGCTAGGTTTGGAGGCAGGTTCTGAGGAGCGGTGAGCAGGACAGTGGGGGCTCAGCTGGGATAGGCAGTAGTTTGTCTGGGCACGGGGTGAGATCTTGGGACCAGCCACTAGCAGACTGCTGAGGCCAGGCATTTAGAGTGCCTGGTTGAAGGGGTCTTGTAACTTCTACTGGATTTGTGAGGCCACCTGGGCAGATTTATGAGGTGTTCAGGTAAGCCACTGAGGACTGGAGGGTGAGGCGAAGAGTTAGTTGTTCACACAGGGGGTGAGGGTAGAGATAGATCCCCCGGGGGAAGGTGGGTGAGACTTGCTGGCATAGAGCTCAGTTTAGACATCAGTCACACTAAACATTGGCATTTTTTTTAACATATCAAATTGGGAAGCATGGTGTGGGGGATGGGCCACCAGCTCCACATGACGCAATATAACCATTCCTGCCCTAAGGGCATTCTGAATTTGAGGATGGAAGTGAGGTTGAAGATACAAAAATGAGGTTAATTTTTTTTTTTGCCTTCTTCTGTGTGTGTGTTTCCATGTGTGTGGACACATATGCACATGAGTGTGAAGGACAGAGACTGATGTCCAAAATCATCCTCAACTTCTTTTCCACCTTCCTCACGGAGGCAGGGTCTCTCAGTCAAGCCCAGAGTCTGCAGATACAGCTAGTCTTGCTAGCTGGTTTGCTCTGGGGATCTCATCTCTGTCTTCTAAGGACAGATTTGCAGGTGGACTGCTGCACTCACCAGACATTTATGTGGGTTCTGGGAATCCAAATAAAGGTCCTCATACGACAAGCACTTTTACCACTGAGCTGTCTCCCCGGGAGAGTCTGGTAGGAGGATGGAAAAGAGAAAGACCAAAACAGCCAGAAACGCCTGCAGCAAAGAAATGGGGCACAGCATGCTGGTGACTCCACAGGACAGTCCAGTGGCCCTCAGTTACAGTCCATCTCACACGACCCAAATGGAACAGACAGGTAGAAGCAGCAAGTGACAGAGACAAGGGTGTGCTTCCTTCATACTTTCCTATCTACTTGCAAAGATCCGTAACCCAAAGGTGGCCAACGTGCTTCAGAAGCCTGGCGGGACAGTCATCTGTGCAGGCAGAGTACAGGGCTCGAGGGCTGTGCACATCACACGTGACATGTTGCCCATATGTGCCCTGGGGACTCCCAGCATGCCTCTTCCCAGAAGGTGGGTCTATTTAAGGGGCTGTGCAGCTGCAGGGGCTGTGTGGGATACGAATGCCTCTGGAGGAGACTGGAGACAGGAAAGTGGAAGTGGGAAGGATGATGAGAGCTAGGTGGCCAGGAGGAAGGTGTGGTTTGAAAACAGGCTGGATAGCATCAGCGTTAGCGTGAGTGCACACAAGGGGAAGTAGGGGCGTGGCTAGGACTCAGGGCAGATAGAAAGGGACATCCGGGTGACATGGGCCCATTCATCGCATAGCCTGCTGGGTACAATACAAGTGACACATCAAGGCCATCGTGCCAGCTGTGTTGCAGACTCTTGATGGGTGTCAGCCTGTTACAGGTCCCTTTGAGTATATACCAAGGAGGGGGAGTGAGTCCACCAGGGTCAAGCAGCCAGCATGAGCATGGTAAACTATGTGGGCATGTCTTTGTGGATGTGGTGGACCTTGTGCATAAGATAGACCATCCTCTGCTAGATTCTCAGGTTTGGGAGCACACGGTTGCTGAGTCCTGATGAAAGTCTGCCGTGATCTTCTCCCATCAGGGGTCAGCCATTCCCAACTATCTCACAGATGAGATACAGCCCTAAAGATGATCCAGGATGTCAAGAGAAAAAAAAAATCCCTACCCACAGCCGGGCCAGACCCCCACAGCAAGCGGAGAGGGCAGTGTCTACTTGGTAGACAGGCACTGGGATCCTTCTTTCCCTAGTCTTTCATGTTAGCACTCAGCTGGGGTTCATAAGAGGGCCTGGCCCAGCCACTTTCTCTGAGAGAACCGTGGAGCATGGAACTATTGAGCCATGCCCCTCCCATGGAAGAAATAGCCCAGGTATTGCAAGATGTCCACAACAACTGATCTAGCTAGGTTAGGGATCCTCAGAGGTTAGGCAGGAAAGGGGCCCTGAGTGTCCTGAGACAGGAAGACTGAGTACAGAGAGGGGAATAGCATGTAGCCTAGCTGCGTGGGAAGAGGCAACCCCAAGCCATGATGTGCTCAGAGAGCACAAAATAATGCCTGGAGCGCAAGGCCAAGAACCGTGTCAGGGCTAGGGGTACCCAAAGCCAGCTGTGGTGAGGAGGCCGCATCATAGCGTGTCCCGGTGCTGGCTGCTCCTTCCTGAGACTCATGGTTGACCTTCTTTGATATGGGTGTTGATGCCCTGGGATTTAGGGATGTGACCCAGATGTGGATTTCAGAGCCTGTGTTTCCCTGTTTAGGGTGAGCAGACAGGCCCTACGGCCCACCCTATCTTCCTGGCCAACCTCTGCTCACAGGTGACAGGGACTTGTCCTGCAGTTGGAGCTGTCTCTGGGCTATGTCCACCAGTGCATCCTTGCAGCAGGAGGGAAGTGTCTGTCACGTTTTCTTTTGAGCTTTCACTTCCTCTGACTTCTGCAAAGTGGCTTAAAACAGAACATTACCCTCTTCCTCATCCTCAGGGCTGCCAGGTGCTTAGAATAAACACAGTGCAGTCCTTGCTGGGGACAGAGCTGTCCTTCTAGGCTGGCTCTGCTTGGCTTTCCAGAACTCTAATTCTCCTTGTAAGGAAGGCAGGTGCCACATGACCCCCACTGCTCTGACTCTGGGGCTCAGGCTCGGTACCATGTAATCACGTGCTCATTCACTAGAAAGGGGTCACCTGTGGAAGGAGAGGGCAGCTCGCTGTGCCACGTGTAGGCCCCTAAGGTCCCCAGCTGCTCAGGGGCTGGGAAGGAAGCAGACTCCAGGTAAAGTGGTACCTGGGTGGGTGATCCTAAGCGGAGTGATGCATCAGACAAGGTAACGCCCCAGACGGGATGGTGCCCAGGCGACTGCACTGATCCCAGGTAGGACTGGATCCCTTTCAGCGCCTCCCTTGAGGGCCCTGGCCCACGCTGCTCTCATCAATATCTGGGGATTCCTTAAGTGCATCTCAATTCTCCCTCACCCTGGAACTCCAGTTTCGGGAGTAGCCAGAGAGCCTCAAATCTCTAACGAGAGTTAGGATGGGTAGACTTCTCTACATAGTGCTCATCTAGGGCGGCTTCTGCCACAGCACCTGAAGTTCAGGGTGAGGGCCTTGGCCGGGTCCTCGAACTGCACCTCACAGGGAGCAGGCCTGAGACCCAGAGGGACAGACAGACATCTGCCCTGTGTTCAGCGGGTCAAGGTGTGTTGGGGGGATGCAAGGAGCCTGTTGAGGACAATGCCTGGCAATGGCTCTTCCTGGCCTTGCCTCTCTGTAACGATGCTGAGGTGTGACTTCAGATTTCGGCAGAGGCTGGTGAACTACTGTAATCTCAGGTGAACGGTTTGGCTTCTTGCTTTCTCCAGTTTTCAGAAATAGTGGAGAAGGAAGCAGGGAAGGCTCCAGGGCTTGGTGTGGATGCCTCTGGGCTCACTTGGGCTGGCTGTCAGAGAATTCCAATAGAGAATTCCAATGGCCACTCCTGAAAACCCAAAGTACTTTGGGCAAATAGTGTGATTATCTGTCTGGCTGAGGGGCAGCCATGGTCTGTGTTGTGGGAGCAGGTAGGTAGGTGGGCAGACAGGCTGGATCCAGTGAGGAACTCCTCTCTGCAGGCCTGGGGAACACAAGGGTCCTGACAGACCTGAGTCATCCCTTGGCTTTATGGGCTCTGGATGAGGCTTCCCTAACACTTCCCTCTCAGGAAGATGCCCTGAGAGCCTCCTATCGAAACCTCTTCACCTAGGGCACCTAGGGCCTGTCCAGAAACACCACCATCAGCCAGAGAAGGAAAGGACCTGCTGGATTGCCCAGTCTACAGCTCTGTGTGCTTCCCAGAGGGTTCTAGAGGGGTCCTTGTTCCCTTCATGTAGGTGATGAGCTTAAATATAGATTTTGGGTCATCAGAGAAAATCAGAGAAAAAATTTTCTTTGGAAGAATTTTAACAAGTTGAAAGTTAAGCTTTCTTTCTTTCTTTCTTCCTTTCTTTCTTTCTTTTGTTTTGTTTTTGTTTTTGAGACAGGGTTTCTCTGTAGCTTTGGAGCCTGTCCTAGAACTCTCTCTGTAGACCAGGTTGTCCTCGAACTCACAGAGATCCGCCTGCCTCTGCCTCCCGAGTGCTGGGATTGAAAGTTAAGCTTTCTTAAGGTTGTTGGATGTGGGATTTCTTTTAGGCATCCTTCCACATTTGTAAGGCTTCCTACAGCAGTTGGAAACTGACTACCAAATTGGGCTCTAAAATATTTGTGCCCACCGACCATTCCACCATGTAGCTTCAGGTCACCACGCCTTCAGTCTCCAGAACTGAACCTGATAGGGAGAAACAAAACAAAACAAAACAAAAAGCAAAAACCCTCATTCTCATGTTTATTTTTGTATTTCTTGACCTTTTAGGAGCTTTTGCTAATTTTTTCTGTGGAAACTCATGTGTTGTCTGGCTTTGCCAATGATGATAAACAACAGTTTTAACTATGGTACCCAGGGTGATGCACTCATGTGCACTGGCTTCCCGGGCACAGGCTCTCTCTACTGGGCTACCTCTTGTTGACCATGGGATGCACTAGAGTCTTTGTGAAATGAGTCAACCTGTGTGATTTAATCTGAAGTGCTGGGATTACAGGCATGCAGCACCATGCCTGAATGGATGGTTGGTTTGTTTGTTTGTATGCTTGTTTGTTGCATTTTTACCTAAATCCATTTCAACTTGCCTTTCTCCAGGTTTTTTTAAGCCACCTTCATAAGGGGCACAAAGCCTACATTGGAGCCAACATGAAATCAGAGCCCACCAGGGCAGCAGGTGAGACAGTCTTGTTTGACTTTAACACATAAAAAGGTCGCAGGAATTTCTCTGTGGTACAGCTGGTCTCAACATTCAAAAATCAACATGCAGATTTCTATAGTAAAAACTGACTCAGAAATGCTCCATCAAGAGCTCAAGACGGGCAGTGGTGGCACACGCCTTTAATCCCAGCACTCAGGAGGCAGAGGCAGGCGGATCTATAGAGTGAGTTCCAGGACAGCCAGAGCTACACAAAGAAACCTTGTCTTGCTAAAACAACAACAACAACAAAACCCTCAAGATGCAGGTAGGCGGTGGTGGCACATACCTTTAATCTCAGTACTTGGGAGGCAGAGGCAGGTGAATCTCTGAATTCCAGGCCAGCCTGGTCTGCAAGTGAGTTTCAAGACAGCCAGGGATACACAGAAAAACCCTATACTCAAGATTCAGTGGACTGGGGATGTGGCTCAGCTGGGTAAAGTGCTTGTTGAACATGCATGAAGCCTTGTGTTCAATCTCCACTATCACATAAAACTATGTAAGTGGCACATGCTAAATAGTACATGTAAAGCCAGCCTGGTCCAGAGGCCATCTCAATCAATCAGTCAATCAATCAATCAATCAATCTGTCAGTCCTTCAATACATAGAGCTCAAGACACACCCACTTCATAAATTGTTTTGACAAGTGCTAAAAAAAGCCAAGTACAGGAGTGGGGGAACATTTGGTACTCTGAATGTCCACTTCCTGTACCATGACTATTAAAAACTCAGAGGAGAAATTGGGGCTCAACCTGAAGATCCGTAAAGCAAAGCAGTCAGACAGTGGCTCTTATCTCTACCTCAGTCCGAAATGGCCTTCCTGCCTCCAGGAATCTCAGAATGAGACTGTGTTTGAGAGCTGTCTCCTCCCATTTTATAATCCTTTCTAGGGCTGGGATTAAAGGCGTGCATCACCTGGTTTCTATGGTAACTAGTGTGGCTACAGTGTGGGAGGGTTAAAGGTGTTTGTTACCACTGCCTGGTCTGTAAGGCTGACCAGGGGGGCTGTTTCACTCTCTGACCTTCAGGCGAGCTTTAGTTATTAACATACAAAAGGAATGCCACTACAACTTCCTATGAGAGTGACCAGCGGCAAATCGTGAGCCATCTGGTAGCCCAAGAGAGCCATCAGGAAGTCCCAGTAAGCAGTTGACAAGGAGCTTCCCGTGCCCCTTCCCTGATGCCACTGTCCTGTTTACCAAGGTTACCCGCAGGGGTGTGGGTGTATGTGACAGGGCCTAGTGTCCAGTAGGGAAGACCTATAGGCTTCTGTGGGCCTGAGCTGGTGGCAGGGGGCGGATCTGTGACTGGACAGTGCAGTGTTGTGAAAGGCCAGGGCCCAGGTTGGCCCCAGACTGTGTTTACTGTAGGTTTCAGTAAGACTGCAGGGTGTGTGGGTAGGGGTGGGGACAGAGATGGAGTGTCTGAACAGAAGGACACAAGGACCGAGGGGCGCCTGAACCGGGGAGTGGGAACGGACTCGCATACATGGCTGAGGGTACTTTCACGGTGGTAAGAGAGCCGTCCAGGTAAGAAGTACTCTAAAGACCTGTGGCTGCCTGCAGCACATCCCTCACTGCCTGCTGGCCACACACAGGTTCTGATGCCAAGATTTGGCACTGGGGTTCAAGGCGGCTCACCATCTTTGGAACCTCAATCTCAGTTTCTCTATCTCTGTGTGCTGAGTAAGGGCACCCAGACTGGGAGAGGACAGCATCTCACTCCCACTGTCAAAAAGGAATTTTAAAAAGACAGATGCTGGCTAGCCCTGAGCTCTGTGGGTAGGAATGCGAAACAGAGCAGACACTGTGGGAAGTAGCACAGGATTCCTCAGGAGGAAACACAGAGTGGCCATGCGAGCCAGGCCAGCTTGCTTTGGAGCATACTCGAAAAGGGGATAACGGGGCAGAAATCAGAGTACAGCCAGGCTCACAGAAGCACTGTTCATAGTAGTCCTGTGGTGGTGAGCAGCCTAGTGTCCATGGACACACGAGAGATAGCGAAGTGTGTGTGTGTGTGTGTGTGGTGTGTGTAACAGGCATGCATTTGCCACAGTGCACATGTGAAGACCAGAGAACAACTTTCAGGAGTTGCTTCTCTCCTTCTGCTGTGGAATCCTGGGAACAAACTTCAGGCCGTCAGGTTGGCGGCCCATGCGTTTCACCTGCTGAGTCCCCTCTCCACGCCCACCCCACTGCCTTCTAGTAGCTTACTTGTTCTTGGTATGATAAATCTCCCTGCGGAGTTTCCATAGACTCCCATCCACCTTGTCATTTCTGTCCCACAGGAAACACCACGCTGGGGGTCACCTCTGAGACCTGCCACACACCCTATGAGGAGAGCAGAGTGGTCCTGGTGGTGGTGTACAGTGCAGTGTGCATGCTGGGCCTACCGGCCAACTGCCTGACGGCATGGCTGACATTGCTGCAGGTGCTGCAGAGGAACGTGGTGGCCGTCTACCTGTTCTGCCTGTCCCTCAGCGAGCTGCTCTACATTAGCACGCTGCCACTGTGGGTCATCTATATCCAGAACAAGCACAGCTGGAACCTGGGCCCGCAGGCCTGCAAAGTGACTGCTTACATCTTCTTCTGCAACATCTACATCAGCATCCTTTTGCTGTGCTGCATTTCCTGCGACCGCTACTTGGCAGTGGTCTACGCCCTGGAGAGCCGAGGCCACCGCCAGCAGAAGACTGCCATCCTCATTTCTGCGTGTGTGTTTGCTTTTGTTGGGCTCGTTAACTACCCAGTGTTCGACATCACGCTGGAGAAGAACTCCTGCTTCGAGCCCCAGAGGATGAGCAGCAGGATAGCCAGCTACCACTACGTGCGTTTCACCTTCGGGTTTGTCGTCCCTCTTGGGACCATCACGTTCACCAACCGCCAGATTTTCAGGAGCATCAAGCTGAGCACGAGCCTGAACGCTGCCCAGAAAGCCAGGGTGAAGCACTCCACCATCGCGGTCGTCACCATCTTCCTGGTCTGCTTCGCCCCCTACCACCTGGTGCTCCTTATCAAAGCTGTTGGCTTCTCCTACTACCACGTAGATGGAGCTGCCGTGTGTGACTTTGAAGACAGACTGTACACAGTCTCTGTGGTGTTCCTGTGTCTGTCCACGGTTAACAGTGTGGCTGACCCCATCATCTATGTGCTCGTTACAGACCATTCTCGGCAAGAAGTGTCCAGGATCCACACAGGGTGGAAAAAGTGGTCCACAAAGACAGATGTTATAGACTTAAAGGACTCCGAGGAGGCAGGCTCACCCACAGCAAAGCCCTACACCTTCCCCAAGCCTGCGTACCCTCCAGGGTCAGAGCCGGAGGAGCTGGGCTTACAGTGCTCCCCAGAAAGACTGTCTGAGGAATTCTGCTAAACCCATTATACCTCAGTGGAGGATGCTAAGCCTTGAAACCAGCACCGGCCACGTATTTGTGGTCCTTTGAGCCGCCATCTAGGGTGTCCGCAGCACTGTAGATACTTTTCTGGAAGGCATACTGCTGATCTTTCTTCATAACGCCACTCAGCTCTGTAAATATCTCTTCCTTGGATGTCCAGAACCTCCGGGCTCTCCTGTATGGGAAGAGGCGGTGTTTTGAGAGCACCAATCATACCTGTAGGCTGCCAGAGACTCAGGGAGCACGTGGCTGGCAGGAGAGCTCGTCATCAGCAGCTTGCTCTGCAGGGCTCCCAACAACCATCAGCAGGGTACTCGGTAGAGCCCTGGACAATGACTTTATTTTCTATGCGTTTCCTGCATTGTCCAGTGGCTACTGTGGTGTATATTGGGGCTTTCCACAGAGGGAGACATGGCCTGCATCTGGGGTTACTATCATGGTGCCTAGAGCCGTGACATAGCCAAAGAGCCAGAGGGCAATAGGAGTCCAACCCCGAGGGCTCCCATTGGGAGTTGGTTCTACGTTGACATAATTGTCTATTAGAGGAGCCATGGGGCATGGTGGCATTTACTCTAGCTCCTGGTAGCACCATATATCCTCCCTAGGGACCCCTCTGCCACTTACATTAGGAAGTGCTAGTGGGTACCTCCAGAAAGAGATTGGCATAGCTGCTACCGGGTAAGGGGGTGTCTGGCATCTGGCATGCCTTTCTTTACCTTGCAGCTTCTGGCCTTGGTGCCACAGGGGAAGTGGGCTGGGGCTCCTGAAAGGACAAGTCAGGGGCAAGACTCTCTGGCCCATTGGATCGGAGATGGAGACCTCAGGGCTCTGAGTCAAACCCCAGCGCCTCCATAAGAGCCTCGTCTCGGTTCAGTCAGACCCACGCTTTTGTTGGTTACCTCACCAGGTTACTCACCGCTGGACTGAGCCCCTCCCCGACTCGGAGGCAAGGGCTGGAGACAAGGAGTGCAGCAGGCTTTGGGGCCAGCTCCTCTGAAGCTCACACATTACAGAGGCTGCTCAGAGACAGATAAACGACATCCGCGGTTACCTTTTGCTCTTCTCTGGAAGTAGCGTGAAAACCTGAGAATAAGAAAAACAAAAAAGAAACTCGATCCTAACTTCCTTTTTCTATTTTTGATTACCTTTTATTGTTTTGAGACACGGTTCCTTGCAGCTCACTAAGGAACAGAAGATGACCTATACTCCTGATTTTCTTGTCACGCCCACCCAGAGGGCTGGGATCACAAGCACACAACCAGCAGCTTCTAACTTCCCCTTTAGTGGCTTTCTGTTTGTTTGCTTGGGCGTGTGTGTGTGTGTGTGTGTGTGTGTGTGTGTGTGTGTGTATCTGCAACCTGTATGGAGGTCAAAGGTTAACACTGATATCTTCCTCGATTGCTTTCTGCTTTATTTATTGAGACAGGGTCTCATGCTGACCCCAGAGCTCACTAGTTAGCTAGACGATTAGTTGGCTATACTAGTTAGCCTGCTTGCTCCAGGACCCCCATCTCTGCCTGGCAAGCAGAAATGCAGTCCAGACAGGCCACCACGCTTGCCCTCGTGTCTCAGCTTTTTGTTTTTATGTTTTTGAGACAGGATTTCTCTGTGTAGCCCCAGCTGTACTGGAGCTCTCTCTGTAGACCAGGCTGCCCTCAAACTCACAGAGATCCACCTTCTTCTGCCTCCCCAGTGCTGGGATTAAAGGAGTGTGCCCCCATGCCTGGCCCCGTGTCTCAGCTTTTCTGTGGGTGCTGGGGTCCCAACTCTGGTCCTCATCTGTGAAGCAAACAGTTTACCAACGGACTCATGTTCCCAGCCTCTGTTTCCTTTTTAAAACGTGGTAACGGTGAAGGGCAGGCAGGTGGAGCAGGCCTGGGGAACTTACAGTTTGTACTACCCTAGGCAAAGTGAAGCCGAACCATCTCTCATTCCCGTGGCCACCCAAAGCACAGCACGACTGGGGATGGACGCCTGTTTTCTTTGATACACTGGTCTGTCCTCTCTCTGGGCGCTCCATCCTTCCTCCACAGGCCCCAGATGCCCTCTCCAGCAGCTTCTTCCCGCCTTAGTCCCTCTCCTCTCTTCAGGCTTAAGGCTCTGGCATCACCCCTGGGTCATTCTCTCCAGCACCCCAGAGAAACTTTATCATTGGACTCTTCCATGGACCATGTGGGCTGGCCTGAGCAGTCTCTGAGGGAAAGGCAGGTGACCAGATTCCTGAGTGGCTTCTACCCTTTTGGTTCCTCCTCATTATGATCCCCTGAGGTCAGGAAAAATACACGTGGTAGGGAGGGGCTAAACAAAACGTCAGTGGGGTTTATTCTACTTTTAACAAAAGCACATGTTCTTGAATGACTAGGATCAGAAAATGTTCCCACTGGAGACACCCTGGCTACCGGCTGTGTGGGTGATTGCCCATATACTCCACCTCAGGGATTTCCCAGTAGACCCATGGCAACCTCCTCGACCAGGCTGGGAATCCCCACTTTTGTATGAGACAGCACGTGTGTGTGTGTGTGTGTGTGTGTGTGTGAGTGACTGAACACAGACATTTTATCTTTTACCACTGAGCTAAATTCCCCAACTGGGAATCCCCACTTTTCAGGGAAGCAACTGAAGTTGACAGCGAGGGAGGCTGGAGACAGACAGTGGATGGGGCCAAGAGGGCAACCTTGAGGGGCCTGGAGTGGGCGTGTCTCTGAAGGTTCCTGTGGGTGATGCCCTTGCACAGACCAGCTGGCTTGGGCTTCCTCAGCTTGGAGGACAAAAGCTAGCAGGAAGGGTGGTGCTTACCCAAAGGGGCAGTAACCAGCACAACCTCCCTCCTTTCATGGACCTGGTCCTTACAGGAATGCACCAGACTACAAGCCAAGCGCCTGTTACATGCTGAGCTGTGGAGTACCTGGCTCTATCTTCTCAACAGTTGGGACAACACCAAAGCCCTGGCCCTGCTGGCATGGGGAGTGGACAGCTGAAGAGGTGGTGGGAGGGGCTGGTGGGGAGTACGAGTTCAACCCATCCCCCTAACCTCTGACTATTGCTCTTTCCAAAGGTCAAGTCAGGGCTTTGTCGTCACTGACCACAAACTTCAAACATCTTCATCTGGTCGCGGAAACTTCCTGAGTTAGCTTGGGGTTAATAAGCCCTAGTGAGTGGGTCAGATACCCACTTTCTCCATCCTTCCAGCCGTATCCATTGTGCACACATTCACTTGTTCACTATTCACTTACACACTCACTCCCCACTCACACACAAACACACTCCCTCACTGATTCATCCCCCCTCCCCTCCTCCCCGTCTCACACACCAAATCTCTCTCCATTCCTCCATTTCCTGCTCACTCTTTCCCTTGTTCAACACTCCCTCAATCTGCACACCTCTCCTCTTCCTTCTCCCCTTTCCTCCTTCCTCTTTGGTCTATGTACTCCACAAAGATCCCAGCAGTCCAGTAGTGAGGGAGGTGGGCCACGATGAAGCTCATCATGAAGAAGGGATGGACAATGGGGAGTATCTTAGGGTTGTTGAAGTAAAACACCATGGTCAAAAGTAACTTGGGGAGGAAAGGGTTTGTTTCAGCTTGTATGTCCTGATCACAGTCTACCATGAAGGGAAGTCAGGGCAGGAACTTAGAGGTAGAACCTGAAGCAGAGGCCATGGAGACAAGCTGCTTACTGTCTTCCTCTTATTAACCCATGTTCACTGTTCCTTCCTTCCTTTCTCTCTTTCTTCTTTCTTTCATCCATCCATCTATGTATGTATGTATGTGTCTGCCTATCTATCTATCTATCTATCTATCTATCTATCTATCTATCTATCTATCTATCTATCTATCATCTATCTATTGGTTTTTCCAGACAGGATTTTTCTGTGTAGCGTTGGTTGTCCTGAAACTTGCTTTGTAAACCAGGCTGGTCTTGAACTCAGAGACCTTCCTGCCTCTACCTCCCAAGGCCTGAGATTAAAGGCATGTGACATCATGTCTGGCAACTCCTTAGGGTCAGCACACAGAAGCTGCAATCCATTGGGGGCCAAGGCCACATCTTGTGCTGGCAACAGAATTTGGTAATGTGTAAATCTCCCAGGAGGAACTGGTTTTGAAGACATGAAGAAGTAATGGAGAGCAGCTGAGGCTTGGTACCATCAGGTCTAGAGTCTCCAAAGAGAGGCCTGGACAGGCTATTGGTGAAGATGCAGGCCAGGTGCAGAAGAAACCCCATTTTGGAGATGGATTTCAGCACTATGGGATGACCTCCAAGGGCAGAAGCAGATGTGGACTGAAGCTGACCTGAGCCTAGGAGATTTGTGTCCTGTCGAAAACCTAGAATATTGTGAGTCTCAGAAGCCCGACTCACAATATTGGACTTTGGTTCTGCTTTGAATATAACTGTGTCCTGGTTTTTCCTTCTTTGAGGAGAGAGTGTTTAAGTGCTTCATCATCATCATGATCTTCTTCTTACCATCATCACCAACATCACCATCATTACCATTATCATTATCATCACCATCACAATCATCACCACCACCACCACCACCACCACCATCATCATCATCATCATCACAATCATCATCA